GTTATTTTGTTTGATCTTGTGTCTGCAAATGTAGAGATTTATCTGTTTTAAGAGACAAATATAATCATATGTATATATTGATATATTTGTATTTTTATGTAATCTCTCACAACCTATGCAGAATCAGTTCCTTGAGTCAAGTAGTGACTCAGACCCTTTGTAGCTCAAGACATTTCCTTGGATTGTTTCCAAGAGAAGCAGATAGAATTTGGAACTTATAGGAACTCCATTCCATCCAAAGACACAGTTAAAAAGCATGTTTTGGATGCCAATTTTTCTTAAACAGTTCTCTTCACAATATGCTGCAGAGTCCTGGGTTCTTCAGATTGCTGTCTGACCCCAAACTCTGCACTTCTAAAAAGTCTGGTGTCCCCCCACAGGAGAGAAGGGGAAGACAACAGAGTGTTGCCTTCATCAGTGCAGATGTACTGCAACAGAGATTTTTTTTGCTCCAGGAGAGGAAGGTGCAGATATGTCAGGTTTTACTGCAAACACTGAAACAGCCTCATTCTGTTAGATTGGAGTGTCTGTATGACCAGGTTTTTGTCAGGTTACAAAACTAAATAGTTTACAATTCTCTAAAGTGGTAACTGTGTTTTAAGAAGAGGGTTTATGGCAGAACTTGTAGCAAATACTTTCAATACACAAGCAAAATGCATGATTATCTTTTTCCTTAAAAATGCAGTCTAAGTAACATCCCTGGTAGGAAAATATATATGGGTTTGATTCACCTTGAGCAGGCCTAACACGTCCATCTTTATTTTCTTTTAAAAAATAAACATGGAATTAAATACTGGACACAGGAATAAATGAAAAGCTAATCTGCTATAACTTGTACCGATTTTCATCTTAGTATTTTCTTTACAGAGTTATGGCAGCAATCCTTTCTGATTTACTAGATTTCACTGGTGTCTCTAAAACTTTTTCTTCTCTGCCGTGGTTTCTTCCAGATGATGATCACTGGGTAGTGGACACAGATTATGATACCTATGCTCTTCATTACTCCTGCCGCCAGCTAAATGCAGACGGCACTTGTGCTGATAGCTACTCCTTTGTGTTCTCCCGGGACCCCAAGGGACTGCCTCCAGATGCACTGAAAATTGTCAGACAAAGGCAGATAGAGCTCTGTTTGGACAGAAAATACAGAATTATCGCTCATAATGGTGAGAACTTTTTTTCTGAATAATTTTATTTCAGGGTTTAATGACTAAAGTACTGGGATTCTTTTGCTCATTAGATATCAAATGCATAAAGTCTTTTACTTAGTGGCTGTAACATTGTCTTTTGAAAACTGGAGCTTGTAGTAAGTTATTTCCAACTTTTACTTCCCTTATCTGAAGGAGAGCTGAGGTACATAGTTTTTCATGCAGCATTATCAGGTCAGCTGAAAAAGTAATTAGAGGAAGTTGTAAAACAATTAAATCAATGTAGTGTGAGTAAACATAGTAAGCATAAACTTCATGGCTATGGTAAAAAGAAATTGGGCAGCTTTTATCAGATCTCTTTGCCTTTGTTGAAATGCTTTTTTGAGAAATTCTTTAGAAAGGCTTTTAAGGAAAATAGAAGTCTTGGAAAGGATACCTTATAGAAGACCCTTTCTCACAAGTCCTCATACTAACTGTTTCACAAAGAGCTGTGGAAGAGAGACATAGCCCTCATACTGGAAGCATGACACTATTTTGAGTCATTTAGTCAGGCTGAGCTCACAACAGAGGGAATTAGCTCACTTACGCTCAAGTGTATTACAAATGGCCAAATGGTAATAATCTAGAAGAAACCATAATGTTTCTTAAGATAAGAATTACACTCAGAGTTGGGAACTGCAAAGTGTGAAGGAGAAAAATCAAAATATTTAGAACAAATAAAATAGTAGTACCTCTCCCTACTCCCTCCCCACCCCTCACATCCTGGAAGACATGCTATTTATGAAAGACTTGACTAATGAATCAGCTGAATGGGAACTCCCCATGATGTGAGAAGAAGAATTAATCCGATTCTTCAATGTGTAAACCAAGACTCACATGAGATTGTTGTGCTTGGCATAGATCTAATTGCTATGTCACATTTGGTGACAAGCATAACTGGAAAAAGATTAATTAGAAGTTTCAAAGAAAAGCAGAGAAAATGATTGAAAGTTTGTAAAATGTGTCCTCTAGTGAGTGCTTTAAAGATCTTCATCTTTTCCTATCAGAAAGAGGTTAAAGGCTGACCTGAGCAAAGTCTGTCCTTGTCTACACAAGCAATAGGAATTGGATAGAAAAGAACTTGCAAACTTGCAAACACAGGAATAATAAATTTAAATGGATGGAACTTTAAACTGGACACATTCAGAGCAGAAATAAACAGCCATTTGTTTAACTCCAAAGGTTATTAACCTTTGGAACAGTTTACCAAGAGCTGTTGTATGTTCTTCATCACTGAAATCTGTAAATCAAGATTAAAAGCTTTTGTCAATGACATGCTAGAACAAACTGGGATGGACTGAAGGAACTTTTGTGTCTTATAAAGAAAGTCAGAACAGATGAGCGAAGTCAGCTGTTGTGGCTCTATTATCTGTTTATCTGATCCATAAACACAGAATAATACATTGCCATGTTGTAAAGTAGTATGCTGATAACAGGGTGCCTTGAAGAACAGGGTGTCACCTACTCTGCTGAAGTAGGTGGTGTTTACAGTACTGATCAGTGACCTGCGAAAAGTGCCTGACAACAATGAAAAAAGAAATTATCTTGAATGAGAATTTGGCGACAACATAAGTCAGTTGAAACTTAGAACAGTCAAGAATAAGAGACATTATAAATGCAAATGGAATCAACTTCTGTGAATTATTTGTATGAGTGCATAATGTTAGATAGGATAGAAAATAAACAATGTGATTATATATATTTATTATACTTTTCTGTTTTGAATCCTGCATTCCCTGCTTTTAAAGTAAAATCCAGCAAGAGTAAAAATTTCTGAAAATGAGAAAGCAAAATAATCAGATGTTTAGAGCTATTCTATCAATACTAAGATCATTTAAAAGTTGATCATAATTCTTCTTGTTTGTTATGGATATCAAATACCTAATCTACCAAGTCACAGTGTTCTTTGTTTGCTACCCTAATTTATACTCAGATGTTAGATGTTGAGTGCAGTGTCTGACATGACTGTGTGAGTTTCGTAGTTTGCAAATGAAAAACAGGAACCTGGGTACCTTTTTATGAAGGATTATGCCAGAGTTTATAAGCCCAGCACCAAAGTATAAGCTAGCAATTTGCATTTTCCCCTTTATTGATCAGGACCCTATTACTAGTTGATTCTGAATTCTCCAGTATCATCAAGCCAAAGTTCCTGCAAAGCAAGCACATTTGGAACTGAGGGAATGATTGTGAGGTAAACTGGGGAAAAAAAAATATTGGGAGCTTCAGGTCAGAAATTCTTACAAAATTTGCTTAATTCCTTATGTATGGATTGGAAGTTTTACTACGTTGATTTTAACTCTGCTATTAAGAGCTACAGAATTATTACCAAAACAAACAAACTTCAATCATCTGCACTGACCTGCATCCCATTGTTACTGTGATAAAATTCTGACTGATGTTAGTAAAGCTGAAAGAATAGATTGGTATCTATTGCTAATTATGCACACTCTGCCTATGTCTTGAAGCTAATTAAGAGTCTGTGTGTATGAACATGTGTGTGTGCTCGCTCAACTAATAAACATAAAAAAAATTACTTGATAAAAAAAAAAAAGAAAGAAATTGCTGTACTGTCTGTTCAAGGCAAAAGAGAAGCCTAGGGGATGAAAGTTTTTGTTCTAACTTACCCTGCATTTATGATGGTAGCTCCTAAATATAGCTCAAGCTATAATACACTTAGTCTCTTAGAGTAATAGCTCAAGTAACTTTAAGCTATGTAATGTCAGTGTCAATATTAAGTAAGAGTACTTGTAAATACAGTGTCATGTCAGTAAAGCTGAAAGCTGCATCTGCGGTTAGCATTTGCTAGAAGCAGCAATTGTGAAATAAAGAGTGGTATATTCCTTCTGCTAATTTACTATTGTCATTAGAAGTTTTGGGAGTCAGGAGATTCTTACTTTGTTGAAGGATATTCCTAAATTAATTATTTTTACGCAAATAACTAGAAGCTTGTTAAAGTATAGACTCTTTAAAATTCAGTATCACTGAAAGATACTCTATAATTGATCTGCCCAGTACATTTTCTGCAAAAGTATTAAAATTCTCAGGAGAGGTGTAATGGATTGGATGAATTCCTGTTTTGTTCTGAGTTGAAAATTCCACAGAATTATAAACTGCAGAGTAAGGTAATGGCATTATTATTACAAGTAACAGACTGCTGGACTTGAGCATTTTAAAGAAATTAGATATGTATGCATTTTAAATTTGATGAAAGTTTGTGTAATTAAATTTTGTCTGGAGTATTTGACAAACACAACTGTGGTTTTTGTGTGTTTCAGGATTTTGCTCTTAAGGAGATCCAGCCCTATGGAAAGAAACCATGTAACAGCACCACGGATGTAAAGTTAACACATTGATCATGTGTTCCCTGGAAAATGCTTTAAATGGGTCCATTTAGATTTTCAATATATTTATCTGAGCTGTGTAGCTCACCTTTTTAATAAACCAATGAAACATTTTAATAAACTTGGATCACAGGGGATGCAAATTGTATGCAAATCTGTACATATGTACACATTGGTTTCATTAGTAGCCTCTTTGTGCATTTTTTTGAACTAATGACTGGTGCTAATTAAGAATTTAATCTTGCTTTTTTTAGTGGTTTCAATTTCTGACTAAAAGTATTTATCATAAACCTCCAAGTATATGTATTTTCTTTCCAACTAGAACATTATATTTTCCCCATAAAATACTAGAAATTATTTAGAAAAGAGAAAGGAGTTTCAGTAACCCTATATATCACTAATTAACTTTATTATATCACTAGTGAAGACATAAAAAATACGTTTCTTTTTAAAGGAACTATTTTACACAGGACAATTTATCATTTATTTATTTATTCTTTACTTGTTAATTCACATGTATTAAGTCCATAGCTTTAATTTGAGATGGAACCAAACTGGTCATTTACTTGATGATAACACATGTTCATTACCTTGTTTCAGTTAGTCTGCTCAAACTTACATTCAGGTAGACAGTCATTGAAGTGTTTAATCATGTTCCCTTTAAAAACTGGATTAAAAAAAAAAAAAAGCAGATACTTTCTGAGTATGAACATTTTCACTAGAAACTTTAAAGTACTTAATTCAACTATTTGACATTCACCAAGTTCACCGCCATATTTCTATTTATTTCAGTGTAAGAGGAGAATTCAATCCCTTAAATTAAATTGTTCAATCTTAATGAGGCAAAGCAATGAAGAGAATTTTACCTGCAGGAATGAAAAATACATATTTAGCTTTTTTCCTCCTCCTTTGGCATGTAATTCTATAACATAATAACCTATGTGACCTGGGATAACATAGACAAAATCCAAAGTGTGGCACAGCTCAGACTTTAAATAATTATCTGGTAATGAAAGACAAATGTGGCTGTTCATGGTTACTTCTTCTTGCAGTGGTTTCTGTACCTGGTCCATGCCTTTCAGGGTTCCCTGTACAACAGAGAAGAATTTCCTGACATTTACGTCTGAAATGGGCAACATTATACAGAACTGGATTGACAGCAGAGTTGGCAAAAGTGAATAATGCTATCCAGAAGAAAACTGATGGCAAAATATTTAAATCTTTTTTGAAGTTCTGAACTAAAATTAAAAAAATAATTACTATTATTGGAGTCCACATAATGAAGAAAGAGGTCATCAACAGAAAAAGGGCTCGGAATAGTTTGTAGTCTTGCTGGGAAACACGAATTTGATGATGTTCTGGGTAGGCTAAACCAGCATTTAAACTTCTTCTTGATGCTTTTGTAATCTGCAGTAAAAGAGAAGAAAATTACTTTGACTGAAACACATTTTTACAAGTGAAAGCATAAATCTTGGTACATGGTGTTTTCTTTTGAAAAGTGACAACAAAAAATCACGTTGCAGAATTCATTTATACTTTTTGTCCATGGTTTCATTTCAAATGTTCTCACTTCACTAGCAATTCTTTTTCCTCTCGGCTGTGAATTCATCTCAATATCAGGCAAAGTGGTTGTTCTTTTCATGGCTCTCTACCAGTCACAAATGCTTTTCAGCATAAAACAGTCTTAATTACTCATGAAATCCCATTAAATTCAAATTATGACCTCATTTGTTCTATCTAAAGAAACCCATTGATTTTTTTCACAAATGCAAACTGGAACATAGTTAACAATCCTGTTGATGTGCAAGAAGGAAGGCAATCCAATTCTCTTATGGCCATGCTAATATTATAAGGTAGGTATTAGAAGGAGCATGAATTTATTACAATAAATTATTTTAAATGTGAATGACATTGTGCACTGTTTTGTGTCACACTTAGCTTTTCAGACAGTAATCACAATTGCTTTCTATGAAATCTTACAGATCCTTACTGTCACTATAAAAATCTGTGTCTTGTAAAAGTATTCTCTTATGTAATGAACTAGACTATGGGTAGCTTGGAAACCTAGTATTCACAGGTGTGCATCATCTGTCATTAGGTAGAATATTGGATCCAGTGGGCTTGCAGCCAATTTGAAATCCTCTGCTCTACATCTCTGTCATCCCTGAAGTTGGTATGGCACAATTAAGTGTGCTACATTCATACCTCTGATGCAAATAAATTAAAACTGAAATATCTAGCAAAGATTTGTGCTAAATAACTGAGATGCCACTTTATCCCCTGCATGCATAAGGAAAGGGTGTTTTCAAAAGCCTTTGATCAATCCTTAGCTACATAGGAAAGTCAAAAGGTAAGGCTTCACCTACCACTTTTCCCTTTTCCCTTTAGCAGAAATTCAGGAAGGACAACACTAATACTAGCAACATTTTAACTTCCTGGTACAGGTAAGGATGAAAATGTTTAGAGAGAGAGAGAGTAATTTGTCATTCTGTTATCAGTTTTCTGAATTTGCCATGGAGATAAATACACATTAAGAATCTAGACATCTTTAAATATTTTAATAGAATGTAGCTGTATAAATAAAAACCCATGAACCAAAAGTGGGTTTCTTTGCAGCTTCTGAGGCTGAGAAGGGGACAGTCTCACTAACTGCTTCTCTGATTTAAAAAGGAGCAGAGAATTCTGATGTCCTGAGCATGTAAAACTATTCCAGCTTGTTGATCTTCTGCTGTACAATCTGGAATCCAGAAATTAGGTTAACTCCTCCAAAGAGCCCAAATCAAGAGTTGTTCTCAGAGAACACCTAACCTGTCTTAGTAAGAATAAAGGTTTCATGAAATGCAAAGGACTACTATAAAAGTAGGAAAACTAGTTGTGTGCACTTCTCAGTCTCCACTGTTCAAAATTGCTACAGAATGTCCTCATCAGATACATTTTTATCTGTCCTATATAAATACTTTCTGTCTTTCCTGCAGGATCTGCGCAGCCTAGAACTAAGAATGCAAGAGTCACCAGGACTGTGGTAAACAAGACACAACTTCTTAAGAAAGTGTTCAAGAGAAATGGGGTGGCAGTGGTATGTTGTGGACCTGTTTTTGGTCTGCCCAGTATAGATACCTATCCTGGGCATCTGAACAAATGAGAACTTAGAAGTCAGATATATATAAGCGTGTAACTTCCAGAACATAGACATCTTCCCTAGTTCTAGCCTCAGACAAAATCTTGCCTGAGAGGCAGAATAATGGAAAACCAAATAAATTACAAATCATGGCATCTAATCTATGATTTTTGCCAGGGTTCTGGGAAGTGTTGTGTAAGAATAATACTCAGTTTCAGAGTAAATTGTGAAGTACACATTTGTAGTAGTGTATAATTTTAAAAAAATTTCAGGTCTTGTATCTGTAGTCAGTCCTCATCATCCTCCTCATCATCATCATCAATGTTGTAACATGAATACATGAATGCTTGTCACTGCTTCCAGCAATACTGAGAATCATGCTACATGTGCACTGGCATAATGGAGCTTTCTCACAAAGAGAGTGAGTCTGCTCTTGGGAATGGCACAGGGATTGAGACATTCTCCAGTTAAGTTCTGCTTGCTTCCTGGAGAGAGAGAGAGAAGATTCAATTATATCTTGCTATGGGCCTCAAGCCTTCCTAATTTCAGGGGAAATAACAATGTATTTTAGCATCTCTGTTAGCAAGTTAGAAAAGAAACAGGAGCAGAACAGCATGGAGAAGTCTTGTAATACAGTATTCCAAACACTACTTTTGGCTTCTAGCTCCCTATGTGCCATTTTGTTTTATAAATTTGCTTGTAATCTGGAGTCTGGAAGGACAGGACTAACAAACACCATTCCTGTCCTGGCCTCTGACCAAGAACTGTGGCATTTCTTGGCCTGCAGTGTTTTGCATTCTTTCAAAGGACTCACTCTCCACTGAGTTACTCTACGCTCTGCCTAAGTGTATGTGGTTGCAAGTGCTTTACTTCACTAGAAGAGGTTCACCTAATGCATTTACCTCAAGGTTATAGTGAGCTAACAGACAGTACAGAAACTACAGGCTGATGACTTTTACTACAAGTTTAAGTTTGATCAATAGACAAGGATGTGTGGAGACCAGATTCTAAGTCCTAGGTTGATTTTACACCTACATCCAGAGTGCATGCACCCACAGCCCCCTGGTGCTCATCATTTCAACAGTTAACTCCTTGCTCAATAATCTATGTATGCTGAAGTTCCTTTCCAAAACCTATAATTTTCTTATACATATTATGAGAAGTTTAATTACCCAATAAAGGAATCAAGCATCTTGTGGGTGGTTGCTAAAAACTAGGCATTGCGGTGACTAGTTTGAAGTGCTTGGTTTGAAGATTTCTAGATCTTTCTCACTCCGATTTTGTATAGTTTAAAAGGAAATTAGATGCTAATATAATGCTTGTTAGACTATAGATTAAAACTCTGTGGTGCTGCGTGGCTTGGCTTATATTTCAGCATATGTTAAACATCACCCACTTAGAAAGAAAGTGGAAGAGATGGCTTAATTTACAGGTTTTGTTTACAGTATTTGATATTGTGGAAGATTAAGCATAATCTAATGAGATCTGTGTACTAAAGACACATGCAGAAAGCCAGTAGATCAAAAAGTAGATACGTTTTTTTTCCTAGTCCTGCCTTTCTCTGCTTTCTTACAAATCCCTCATGACGAGTTTAGGCTCAATGAAAGCAAAATCCAGTTCTTAGTTATTTCAAATGCTTGACTCTTTCAGCATTTAGGAGATTGACAGTCTTTAAATATGAATATCATATAAATGAAGAAATGTATTTAAGACTATACATAAGAAGACAAACCATGTGTTGGGCCTGTGTAATGTGCTGTTGAAGCATGTTCTTAATTGAAGTATATGGGCTGTTATCTGCAGGTTGAAATGTTCCATTTCATATCACATACTTTTAATGTATTGAACAAATGTTTGTTCCTTTTACGTGTATTAGTATTCAGTGACATTATGCTGATGCCTAGTGTGTTACTGTTTACTGCCCTTTGTTTTACAACAAAAATTAAAGGGAAAGCATACCTGTAAGATTTTGGAGTAACTGATGACAATGATGAATCCTGGTATCAGAAAGAAAACAATGGCAAAGGTTGTATCCCAGACTGTTTCTCCTGCAGTGCTGGGCCAATCCAGGGTGCAAATCTGAATGTCCTATTTACCAAAAAAAAAAAAAAAAAAAAAAAAAAAAAAAAAAAAAAAAAAAAAAAAAAAAAAAAAAAAAAAAGAAGAAGAAAAGTAATATTGTACCATTATTTCCAACATTGTTCTTATCTCCCTCTATGCTTATGGGAAAAAAATGGCTAAACTAAGACTAAACTAAGACTGTGAAAACTTTCTACTTAGACAAAGTGGTCAAGTAATATATTACTTGCTGGTTTTAAACCTCTATACAATCACAAATAGATATGTCCACAACTGGAAAAGTTCCATTAATTTCTTATCAAATTGTAATGGCAACTTTAAAATTGAAACTTACAGACCCTAAACTTAAAAATTCATTCAAGTGTCATGTGGGGTGCATTTTGGTATGCATTTCAAAATATTAGGCAGGAAAATCTGTGCATGGCCGTTTTGTACAGAGGGGCTGCGGGAGCAGGCAAGTCTCCCAGGATGCTGATCCCTCGGTTAGGGTTAGTGAGCTGAAAAGGGCGTCTCTGAGCCGCACTGCGGAACGCAAAGCGAATCTCAGCCGATGCGCGTCTCCCACCTAACGGGACGGTCCGCCGGGAGAGCGGGCCGGGGCGGGGGCGGCCGGGAGCAGCTCCGGCCACACAGAGCGCGGCCCGCCCTGCAGGCGATCTCCGCGCTGGCCGCTGTCCCGCCGCGGCAGAGGCGGACGAGCCTCCGCCGCCGCCGGTCCCGCCGCCCCCCGGCCCGGCCCGGCCCGGCCCGGCCCGGCCCGGCTGCCGCGGGCGCGCCCGGCGCTCGCCCTCACCTGGCCGGCGGGGGTGGGCAGCCGCATCACGGTGAAGAAGCAGCAGAGCGGGAGGGTGGCGAGGGCGGCGAAGCCCCAGATGAGGAGCAAGGCGGCGGCCAGCACCTTGCGGCGGCGGAAGGCGGCGTGGCGCAGCCGGGCGATGCAGACGACGCGCTCCAGGCTGACGGCCGACAGGGAGAGGATGATGACGGTGCCGCTCAGGCTCACCACATAGAAGAGCAGGTGGCAGACGAAGTTGCCCAGCACCCAGGACTCGGTCCAGCGCACGACGGCGATGAAGGGCATGGCGGTGATGAAGAGCAGGTCGGCGCAGAAGAGGTTGAGGACGAGGCAGTTGGCGGCGCAGAGCCGGCGGTGCCGCCTCAGCAGCAGGCAGATGCCCCAGATGTTCCCCGCCAGCGACAGCAGAAAGATGAAGGCCAGGGCGGATGACTCGCCGATGCGCAGGGCCGTCACATTGCGGCCCCTGAAGTCCGAGAAGAAGGGGAAATAGGTCTTGTTCCCTCCTGGTGCGCCTCTGGACACGGGCATGAGGGTGGCCAGTGGGCATCAGAGACCCACCGTGGATGGTGGCACCAGCCCTAGGGGAAGGGCTGCGCTCCCAACCACCACGGCGGCACCTGGGGTGCCCTCCCAGCACAGAGCCAGGGGATGACCGCCATCCCCCTCCCTCCTCTTCCTCCTGCCCCTGCTACCAAGGCTCAGCCGTGCCAGCTGGGCGGTTTATGGCCCTCGCACTGGAGTGGAACAAGGAAGTGGGAGAGTAAACACGGTGGAGCTCACACAAAGGCGAGGCCGCAGCGCGTGGGGCGGCAGTGAGGGGCTGCCCGACACCTCCCTGGGCAGGGGGTGGCTCAGCACGCTGCCATCCCCATGCCCGGGCGCCCAGACCCAGCCACCTCATCCAGTGCCAGCCCTGGTCTGCTCAGCTCTCTAGGCAGGCCCCTGGGGTGCCAGTGACCCTGGAAGGCCACTCAGTCTGCTCCCATCCAATGGGGTATGCATGGCTTAGAAACATGGATGGCTGCCACACCACTCTGAGAGCTCTCCTCAAGAGCCTAGGATGACCAGACTAATCTAGGGTAAAAAAAAGGACTTAACCTATCACCTTCTGTATTGACAGTGGCATTTGGAAACAGCAGACCTGTGCATTGCTTGTCCTAACTGTGGAGAAGTGTCACTGACATGATTTTGGGGATCTATTTACAAAATTCATCTAGGATCTCACCTGTGTTATGAGTTCGTGCTGGAGAAGCCTGTTAAAGTAAGACAAACCTAGAAAATACCTTATTTTCTCTGAGCTTCAATTACTAGAAGCAGTGGCTCAGATTGTAAATGAAAGTAGGGCTTTCCACTTAGCCTCTTCACTTCAGATGATTTAGAAATGGGCTGGAAGTGAAGCACGTAAATTGTTACAGACTGGTGGATAATGTCTCATAAAAGAAGATAAAATGTTTTCATAAAGTATGTAAACAGTTATATAACTTTAGGCTGGGTGAATTCATTTGGCTGAGTGCCAGTGCAGGCACTCAAGGGTTCACTTACAGGCTCAGCGTGTGGACCTACACCATTTGCTGAGGTGAGAGCTATTCCACGTGTGTGGAATACAAAACTGCTGTGCCACGGGGAGCAGGTGATGGGCAGTGCTTCTGCAGTACCCTGGGTGTGACCCTGCCATCAACCATTTACGCAACAGCATTAGTGGGGATTCCAGATTAGTGGGGATTCCAGAAACTTGGTCCTTTGAAGGGGCAATCTCCTAATGAGGGATGACAAGAGTGACATCTTTCCTGGACTGCTTCCCACATTTGCTGTGCAGAATTTGCATTTATTTCAAATAGCAATTATTTCAATTAGTGGTTCTAACCATCTATGCCATCTCATCAAACAAGGAGTTTGTCTAACAAGGGGTAACAAGGGCAGCCTTAACAGGTGTATGAAATACTCCTGCTAGCTCCTGCTGACAGATGACTGTATGAAATGTGGGCACAGTTGCTGCTGAGGGAATGGGCTATGAACTCAAGTGAAGACAATAAGAAAACTTGCAAAGACGGTCTTTTTTTTCAATAAGAACTGTTTCAATATTGGTACTTTAGATCATTTGATGACAGAAAAACATCTGCATCCATCTTACAAAAATTTCAGTACATTTAATAGATCTACTGATTTATTATTATCATATATGATCAGTGCTTGGCATATCCACAATTTATGTTGGCTCTGCTATGAACTGATTCTTTAAAATGATTAGTGAACCTTGAAATACAGCAACACCTCCCAGTTGTCACAACCTCACAGGCCCGGGACTTTTTACAAGCTGACAGACTAGCCCCAGAATTCTGGGCAGCTGGCATTACCGGTGGTGTGGTGAGCTCTAAATGATGGCAGGGATTTGGGAAAGAGCTATTGTTAATAGCCTGGTTGTACCTGTGTGAAAACTTGGGAGGCATTAACAGGACAGGAGGAGTGGAGGTGAGGCAGCTGGAAATGGTAGCACAGATAAATGCAAATTTTATTATGAATAAAATCTTTAGCCCCTTTGACACTAGTGGAAAGTTAAATTAGAAACTGGCCCTGCCAGTTTCAAAGTAAAAGTAAGCATATTTGAAACCATATAGGGGAAAGGAAACAGGGAGTGAAGCATACAAAGCTGCACTATTGCAGAAATTAAGATACTTTTAGTCAGGGAGGGAAGGAATACCAGAAGAGAAGAAGGTTTGAAAATGAGATGAGGTGTGGAGTGTGTGGGTAGATCTTTGATCTTCTTTAGAAAGGACCACCTTTAGCTTTGGTCCTTAGGTGTGAGTGAGAGCCTTACTTGGCATAAGCCTGTTGTTTGCTCAGGAGAATCAAAGTGAAGTGCTGCTTTTGGTATGCTACTAGTGAGTGAACTTCACACTGACCTGTGTACAAAATCCTCTGCCTGAGGACAGCAGAGGTGTGAAGAAACATGCTGGTTTCCATCAGATTTGATCAAACAAGTGGGGGCTCCTTGCAGGAGCAAAACCAGTCTCATTACTCATGGGTCTAATTGATCCATTATCTAAAAGAGTAACTTTCTTTTCCCTCCCATGAGGTACAAAAATTGTATTTGCTGTTGGATAGGTCTAATCATAGCAACCATCACAACATGAAATCTGAGGAAGAGAGGAGTTGTAACCCCCATAGAGCAACTCTGGCTTTACTGTAATAGGTGGATGCTGTGTGTGGTATGTGCACCACGTCCTTATGACAAGGAAGTGATTACCAGAATGCCTGGAAACCTGTTATGATTGCTTAACCTATATAATTTTTTTAACCTATGTTTACTTATATGCTCAAACATGGAGTCAGCTCAGATTTCATTGCTCTAAGTTAAATGAAAACTGCAGAGACCTCTGTGGAGGTGGTTTGCCTAACCTAGCAGGGAAAAATCTTGTTTCTTTTTTTGTGGGTGTTTTCTTCATCTCTAATGAAAGCCCAAGGTTTGGCCTTCTCTGTTTCAGATAAGGGCTGTGTTACCTGATACCATTAGTCAAGCTCTGCTTTTCAGATTGTTCCCCTGGCAACCACAAACTGTCGTGACAGATGGGGATCGATCAGCTTATTTATATCTTGAGCATTAAGAAATATTCCCAGAGAAAAGGACCACTTAGTAGGTGACTCTGGGAGATGGGAGTTCTTATTCCATTTGGACATGGTTTAGTGAAAGTTTTGGCCTTATTTATGCATCTTCTTGCACGTAGATTGGTGTTTTAAGTCTTTGGGTGTATTTTTGTGCACCTGTATCACACTAGGTAAATAGCACTGACTTCTGTAACAGTTGTATTGCACATTTAATGTTTGCTAGTGATGTAAATTCATTTCATTAGAAAGGTTGTCTCTGTCTTCACAAGAGAGGTTGCAAGCTTGTAAATGACTCATGGATCTGCACAATAAGATTTTTATCATAATTTTCAAACAGGGTTAGGTTTCTATTTTTATTTTTGCTCTTCCATATCACACTGCAGCTGTTCTGCTTCTAGATACTATGAATCCTCTGCTTAGATGTATCATTGTAAGGTATGTTTCAAATACAAGTCTGTTTTGATTTATTTTGTTTTTGATGAAGTTTTCTAACTGCTCACCCATTTTATACTTTCATATCAGTGAGCTGAAGCGCTTACACCAATGTGTGAGGGACAATTTTAAACTTTTATTGTAAATATAAATGCATCTGTTTGTTTACATATAGTAGCAAGCTCACACATTTCTGTGTCCCAGAAAATAACTAGATACTTCACTTATGTCAAAAACTAATCCCTGTTTCTTCTGGGATGTGAGCAAGTCACTTTTTCTTCTGGGAAGTCTCATTTTGCTGTGGTCAGTACCCATTAGAAGCTGGCATGCTTCCTGGGGTAAGTGCCAGTGGTGCTGTAGTTTCAAGCTGTAGCAGCAGCATTACTGACCAAGGCTTCAGCCAAAAGCAGAGCTGCCAATAATACTGTCAGAAGTGCTTTCTAATAAAAGCTGGGTCAGCTTCTAGTCATCCAGACCACCAGAAATTTTGCCAACATCAGCATCGTGGCTTGCAGTGAGGAAGGGATTTCTCTCTGAACTAAGTGTAAATTAAGAACATAATCCATGTAACATAGACTTCCCCTGGATGGTCACGTTTCCTGTTTTGCTGCATACTAACCAAGCTTCACCAGAGTGACTCAGCTCCAGCTAAACTCTTATAACTAAATGAGGTTGTTTCTTAACAGTTTTAGAAACTCCATTACACTTACACATCTAGCCCATTGATTTAGGGAGTTTATCAGTGAATACAGAGTATCAGACTGGTTTGCTTGGACATTGCAGGATCTGGTAGAACACTCTTAACAAGGAACTGAGATCCTGCATGAGTTTTTTGCAGAGTTGGATGTTAAAAGTGCCACTGGATCTTTGCTTAACTTTCAGGTGTGCATAAAGTTACTTACATTTCTGCTAATGAGCTTTGATGCAAAGACATCAAAACAAAAGTAGGGAACATCTGAAGGATTTACAAACTAAACTTGGCACCAGCCCCTCAAGCTCAGGAGATGTTCTCAGACATTCCCTGAACACATTGGTCTGCTGGGCTGTACAGAGATCACAGACACCATTGTTTCCTCTCATTGTCAAGAGCTCAGTGATTTGAGAATGTTCTTATTCGTGAAGTTTAAGGAGAATTGTCCCTTTTCTTTCCCTGATGTCTCATCTTAGAAGAGTAATTTGTTGGGAGAAACAGGGGCTCTTCAGCTCCAAATTGGGATAGCAGCTTTACTTTTAAAAGCCACATAATTCTGAAGGAAGGTCTACAGTGCCTGTCTGCTGCAAAGACTGTCTATATTGTCAGGCTTCTCCTTAGCTAGCATTAAGCTAGGGCTGGAGAAACAGAAAAATCAATCTTGCAAAAGCAATGGAAGTTCAAATAATGCTTTAAATTCTGCTGTAAACCCTTCTGCCTTCCCTAATGTAATAGTAATCATGTTATTTCCCACACTGTTTATGGTTTTCATTATCAGTGGCCATTTGAGATGACTGATAAGATGTGACTTGGAGCTTCCCATAAACTGAGTCTAGAAAGCATGTATGTCTCAATTAGGCTGTAGAGTTTTCTGTCTAGTTGCATGAAATAACACTGACCCTATCAAGCTTGTTACATGAATAAAACTGTCACTTTCACTGGCACAGTGTGCACATTCACCAGTTTTGAATTTATGAGGGAAATTAAACCTGGTTGCACTTCCATCAAGCAGCCAGCTGGATATCACCATGATAAGGTCCCAGACTTCTTTCTTACAGAATATTTTGAAGCACCTTATCTTGGTCTATCTCTTTGGAGCTATTGATTTAGTAAAAAATACTGAAAATTTTGGTTGGTCATAGAGACCACCAAATGAGTATCTGTCCCTAAATGCTGGTGGGGAGCTCTGTTACAGGTCTGAAGGCCTGGGTGTGAGGGAAGTCTCACTTTGTGGATACACATCCTTTTTGAAGTCTGCTTTTTTTGCAAGAGATGCATTTGACATTGACAACGTTAGAAGAGAATTTACATCTGTGACTCTTCTAGAGCAGTCATGTTTTGCACTGGCTGGCTTGGCCAGCTTCCTCTCAGAACACCAGCTTTCTGAATCTTCTACTGGAGCACCTTATGGAGGGGAGCCTAAACACCCCAGATACCAAAGAACCAGACACCATGGTGGTGTTTGTTAAAACAATGTGGGAATGATGCACTTCCCAATAATCAGGAATTAAGCGACATCAAGTTATGCCTGTGTCATTTATCTTGTTTTTCAGCAGAATAGCGATGCATGAGTGCAAGTATTGATTTGAAGCAGTATTTTATGGTATTCCATCTCTGCTTAGACTAGAAGTTCATACAGACATAGGAATACCAGTAATTTTCTAGTTGAGAAAAATGAGATTAAACTGTTTTAACGACTTCTGGTACAGTACCTACTAATTTAGCATGTAGTGAAATAACACTACATGCTAAAGAAGATCAAGAATCAGTGCAGAACCATTGTGGCTTTTTAATTTAAATCTTACAGTGTCTTTTTTTTCTTGCAGGTCTTTATGTGCCATTAAAAATGGGGCTTCCAAGGCACTGTGAGAAATCAGTGGCTGCTGTCCCTGAGCCAAGGCAGCCCCACCTGTCAGGGATGGTTTAGGTAGTTACATAAGTGTCCCCATAAATCTCCAGTGGAGGAGATTTTACAGCCTCTGTAAGCAATGTATTTCACTGCTCATCTACTCCAATCACCAGAAAGATTTTACTTATCTGTTGCAATTTTGAACATGTTACTCTTTTCATTGAGCACTGGAAGACTTTTTTTTCTTTCCTCTGTATGAAATAGTATTTTTTCATGTTGTTTTCTAGACTGGATAAATCTGAATCTTCCATGAATTTTATCAGAAATCTGAAAGACTTCTACTACGTTCATATTAGTCTGACTTGTTCTTGAAGTACAATACTCAAAGTCAACATAACCTTGTGAAAGATTGTTATCAAAACTGAGACTAAAAGCTACACAAGCAAGTAGAGTATTAGAAGTTGATTCATGAAGCTCAGAAAAATAACAGAGCCATCTTTCAGATTTTATTCCACAAGCAGTTCTTCTTATGGAAAAAAAAATTGTGGAGTTTTAGTTTTCTTTCCAGCCACCCAACATTGCATCAAAACCATTTAATTTGCTTAAAAAGAACAGTGTAAAAGCTAGATTTAAAAACATACTACTATTGGTAAACCATTTTATTAGCCCCCAAGCTTCTCTAGATCAACAGTTTCAAATAATGCAGTCTTTCTGGTAGGTTGAAATTCAATTACTTGAAAGGGACATAATAGAAAAAGGCTCCTGAAATTGTAAACCCAAAGTTCCTGAAGTAATGAAGACACACTGCTGTTGCTTCCTGCCTTACCAAGAACTATACTTACAGCTAAATAAGTAGAGATGAGCATGTTAGGCACAAACTTCTCCACATATAACTAAAGAGAGGAGCAGCAGATCTCCTTCGTTAACTTTGAGAAAAAAAAAAAAAATCTGAAATTTCTTAGCTTCTAAGAAATAGAAAAAAAATAGTGATATAATTTGCATACCTTATAAAGTTGGAGCTTTATAGTTGGTTTTAATTACAGGTAGGTGATGGCAATAGTATTTGTGGGTCTGCTTTCAAAATAAGCATTTTACTTCACTAGAATGTCATTTTGGTATTTTGCAACATATACCACAATAATGACCTGTAAAAATTTATCAGCAAGGTGTTTTTTGGTGCTTAGGCATAAAATTTATCAGGTAGGACTAAACCCATTGTTAAAGCTCAGAAAAGGTGGAATTAACAAAACTTTTTAAACATGATGAACTTTCTGAGTCTCCGTCTACAGTATCAGTTTCTAATGTGGAAGTGTTTTATGTTAATTTAAGAAAGCCTCAGAACTACTGAATAGTTCTGACCTGTACTAGGCAAACCTAATTAATTTATAATACATAAAAGATAAGGATTTCCTTTAGCAGAAACTGTGCCGAGTATGCAGCTGAGAATAGAATACTAGCTGATTAAAGTGTTGTTCAAAGACAGACTTAAACTTTTAAAAGTAGTTTAATCAGAGATTAAAATTATTAGGCTGTAATGAAAAGCATAGTTATCATCCTGAATGAAAAGATTTTTAAAAATATATGAAATTAAGACAATTTCCCTCATGGCAAAACTTTGAGATTCTGAAGCACAATTTCTGTTTTACTCATTAGTTTATCATATCTTTGGTCAGAAAATCTGTTACCAGCAGATTATAAACCTAAAACACAGTCAGTGAAATTGAAAAGTGGATAATAAAATAAATCTGGCAGAAATATTTCAGATATAAAGATAATACCTTTTAGTATTTATTGTCTCATGAGCACTGGATTTAATTGAGAATAACATCACTTGATACTATCAGTTATTTTCAATAACTTGGAAAACACCTTTATATTTAAGAATAAGACTTAACCATCAGGGATTAAGGTGAATGTTATGGGTAAAAGCACAGTTTTGCAGCAAAGCACAATGGAGAAAGCTGACACCAGCTAGCAATCAGAATCCGCAGGCCAGAGAAAGAGACTCCTTGGGCACCTGTGTGACCTCAGCAAACATTTTACAAACTTGTAAAATGCACAAATTTATTCTTAACTAGTGTATTTTGTAAAATTTCCCCATTTTAGTAATTTCCACAGAAATAACTTCTTGTTGGGCCTTCACTACATATGCAAGGAACAAAGCGCACACAACACATTCAAGTCTACAGTAAGTGCTAGAGAAAAATAACACTGCAATTGCAAATCCATTAGGGATTTTTTTTTGCCAGGTTCTAATTTGTTGCCAGAATTTGTCATTAACTTGTGTTTTGTATTGATACCAAAATACAGTGACACTTCAAATATACCGGAGCAATTTGTTAAAAAATGCACTTTGGGACATTTGTCAAATCTAAGGTTGAATAACTGACATTTCCCAACTTTAACCTCTAAAATACAGAATCAAAACAAATTTAATTCAGCGTAATTCTATATGCAAAATTCAAATATGGCCTCTGACATGGTCTGAAATATAAACTTTCTTCAGCACCAAGGAAGTTTTTGTTTGCTAGGAAGTTGGTTTTTCTGAGGTTAAACCTTGGTCAGCATTTTAGTCACCCCTGATGATGATTCAGGATAATCAGCTACTTAAGATTGATGGTTTGAGCATCAATGTTAAGTAGCAAAGATTTAAGATGGCCCTCCTGAGTTTTTATGTATCAAGATGTTGATATATTCCACATATATATAACACATGTATGTATATACTATACACACTACACATATATACACACACTATGTATAAATAAATATATATAGTGCACCTATGAGGGCCAAAAATCTTTTGCAGCTATTCTTGTCAGTTAAGGTACAAGCACAATCATCAGGATTCAACAACCAAGAAGTAGGTATGCCAAAACTAAAATATAGTCTGACACAATAATTGTGCTTTTACTATTCTTACATTTAATAGTGCAAAAAAAAAAAAAAAAAAATAAAGCCAGTAGTTTACTACTTTAAATATTCCCAATTCAAAAATATTTCTGTTTGAAACTAGAAAATGCAGTAGCTGTTTTTCAAAAACACGAGGTAAAATACTGAGGCCAAATTATAATGTTAATACTGTTTTTGTGGAACTGAATTATAAAATCAGCAGTCATTTATATAACTAAGAAAAAAGCTTTAAAATACTTTTGCCTGGCATATTGGCAGCATGTATGAAGCAAAGTCCATTTGGAGTTCAAGCTGTACAGAAGTCAATGTGTGCTAGTAATTCTCTATGCTGGCTCGTTGGATATGGCACTTTACATCTGGGACACTCGAGAAAACTTTCATCAAGGCAGCTGGAATGTTTCAAGGGAGGACTTCTGTCATGTGTGGTCAGCTTCTTGTCAAATACAGCTTGCAAATCTTCCTGTGATTCTGTATGTCCATATTCCCGGAGTTCCTGGAAAAGGAGGAGCTTCACTGTAAGACTGGGGTGTGCATGCACTGGTCAAACACTGTAGGAAAATATATTAAGGCTTGATGGCAGACAAGCCTTGGCTGTGTTACAGCCCTAAGGACTGTGCCCTGTTCACCCGCAACAAGTCTAAGTGGAAGCACATTGCATCTTTGTCCTGGTGCAACAGACAAAACTGGGTCACACACTGTGATACAGAATACAGAGCATTCCCTGCTCAGCACCCTGACTGCTCTGCAGCTTCTGCTGCAGTGCTCCTGCTCTGTGCTTGCTGGAGAGCACAGCAGTGCCTGCCTGCCTTGCACAGGGCTCTACGCCTTGGGGAAACAGACGTAAAGGATGGAGGGACACTTAGTGTTTGAACAAAGCAAGAAGATGTATGTTAATGCAAAAAACCTGACTGAATTCACCTGTGACTTTTTCAGTACATACCAGGGGTTCCAGACGGGTTATTTTCTCCTTGGCCTTGCGCAGCTCCTTGAGAACATGGTTTAACTCATGCTTCAAGTTCTGGCGATCAAGCTTTCCATTCTCTAAGTCTGTGGTGCATGTCTGGATCTGGAAGCCCAACAAAGTTAAAAATTAAAGTCAAAGTTAGTATGAATTGGGAGGAATGTTTCCCATTTATATATTTAAAGTCAGTTTTGCTCTGCAATTACATCTTAAAATGGGATTAAAAGGAAAGTTTAAATGAAAATTTAAAAATTGCTGTTGCTTTCATTACAGTGAAATTCTCACATGCCCAGTTATTAAGATCTCCCTTAGAAGAGGTACAGTTTGAAGTTATTTTGATTGGAGGGTGTGTCAATTTCAAATAAAGAAAATAGAAAATATGGCAATGCAATTATTTCTATAACTATATCAAAAATATACTACAAAACTTTAATTAGGTCATTAGTTTTAGGATGTTTCTTGTGCCTTATCTGAGGCTTTACCTGTTAAACAAGTGATTGTGGAGAAAACAACATCAGGTTTGATCATACCCTCTTATCAATACAAAGTTACAGATTTTCCTCCTGACGCTTGTCAAAATTTTTGAAAGCATCAAGAGATTATGTACAGTTGAATATTCATGCCTAATATTACTTTATTTGATATACTAATCATTGCTAAATGTGAAGGTAGTCTAGAAAGACTTTGTGCCTAACACAGATTCAGTATCAGCACTTTAGCACATTATTTTGTACCTGTTGTTCCAACAAAGCTATTCTTGTGTGTTCTGCCTCCTGTCTGAGCAATGATTTACGAAGGAGTTGCACCTACAAGGCAGATGAACAATTGTAACAAACAACTTCCATATACAATAGTTAATAAGTTAAAAAAAATTAATTTATAATGAGATGGAAGCAAACTCTTATATTCCAATGCCAACAGAAAATGTATGTCTGTTATGCAAGAACCAAACTCAATTCAAATCACTACTTCTCCAAGGAAAACCCTAGTGAAAAATTATTGCATCAAGAAGTGAGAATGCAGGATGATGTTATTGTTAAAAAAGAAACCAAAAATGGAAGCCTTCTAGGTGATTGTCAGGATGCTGACCAAAATATACTCACAAAACCTATGTTTGCACTAACATGATATGATGTTGATAAACACAAACAATGCAATTGTTTTAATGTAAGAGAACAACTTTAAGGGTGAGAAAGTACTGTATTATAACCATTAAGTAAATGCATACATTAAAATATCCTCTGCTTTCAGCATGTATCAACTTTTGCGATAATGCTGTTGTTCAGCTTCAAAAAATAAAATAATAAAATAAACATATTTTAATCATTATTAACTAGTAAGAACCAGTCTGTCTTTAGAAAGCTTAAGTGTTCTGCTTTTGGCCTACTTTAGTGTCTAGTAAATTTTATTCTCGCATTTCAAATATCAGTTTTATTTTAGCTGCCAGCTAATATTAGTGGTATTCCATAGTTAGGAGCACATGATAAAATAAACTTTTAGCTTTCTTGTTCTCATTTACTATTAGTCTAAAGGATGAACTATATTAGAAAAAATGAAAGATTTTCTACCTTCTCTTTTGTAGCCCTTAAGACTAGGGAAATAAATGAACAAAGAAGTTTCTTCTTTAAACAATTCAGTTTTAGCCACAAGGACATAAGTGTTTATCTATGTGAAGAATAGCTACCAGAGAAAGGGATGGTCCATTCTGATTAACTATGAATTTTCACATATCTTGATTCTTTGCTAATGATCTCAAACCTCCAAATGCATTCACTTACCTGACATAAAAGATCTTCAGACTTTTCTCTTTCTTCTCTGAGCTGTTCTTTGATATTTTCATTTTCCTGTTTTAGTCTTAGTGCTTTCTCTTTCATTTTATTTTCATTTTCTTGAGTCTTCATTTCAGCAAGCTGTTGCGACTGCAATAAGGCATTTAAAGTCATCATTTCCCCTTCTGCCTCTTCATACATCTTCTTAAGTTTGTTAAGGTCAGATCTCAGCTGGTTTATAGTGTGTCTTTCAGTGTCAGGATCACGTTTAACAGTTAGTAACAGCTGGTCAGAGTATTCTTGCTTTTCCTCTTGCAGATGACCTTAATGAGTCGGAAATAATCGAGTTAGCAATGTGAAAAAAAAAAAACACTTAAAAATCAGAACACTAAATCTTTAACAGCATTTTAAGGATTATTAACAGAAATTGCCATAGTAGGCTATTGCACAGCTCAGATTAGAACCAAACTTTGGTTGAAACAGCTTTCAGTATTTATAATACATTAAGCTCCTTATCAATATACTTACTGGAAAACACAGTTCTTCTAAGGCCTCATGCATTATATTGACATATGGGAATCTGACCCAAAGACACTGGATTCCTACTTTTATTTTTATGCTCTTTAGCCAAGCTGCTGGTATTACTCCCTCCACAGAGATACCCTTGGGGAGATGATAGATTCTACTTCAACCTTTTTGACCAAAGCCAGACCTTCCACTGTCTTTTGCAGACCATCTTTTCCAAAGAATATGCCATAATTTACTTCTAAATAGTAAATAGAAAGGACTAGGACAGTTCTTTTGATTACAAATGCTTTAGGTTAGAAAATTTCTGCTTGTTGACCCAAGGAAAGTTTAATAAGTAGGAAAAAATTAAGAGGCAGACTGCAAAAATTCAGAAGCAATACAAAATATATGTAGAAGCAGAATAAGGGATGCAGAATTTCATGGGCTTTGCTGATTTTTGGTACTGTAAGTTTTGTGGCTTTAATACCTTTCCTATTGAAGACTTACCCTAATTATTCAAAGTGTAATTTACTAGGGAGAGTTTCCTGCTTGAATATTCTCCTTTCCCTCAGCTAGGAATTAAGCCCTATCTTCTCATTAGCAATACTGCTTTACAGGGCAATGCCATCCTCAGAGACAGGCCAAGTTTTTCCCTAGAAAAGGTTTTCATATATGTACTTTCCAGAAAGATTCAAACAGCCATATAGAAACCAAGCCACCGCCCATGAATTATTAATGGCAAGCCTGTGGGTATGCTCTTACTCCACATGATGCTAGTTCTGTTTAGTGAATTTACCTTGCACATCAGTTACAGCATGTATGAAATCAATAATCTGGTAATAAGAAAAGCAAGTCAATGCCTTCTGGTTCTTCTGCTTAATATGATTTTAATTTTATTAATACTGAGAGGGTGTGCCTTATTGAGGAAGTGCACAGCAAGGAAGTGAGCTGGAGGTGGCCAGATCCTCATTGTGAAACACTGCTTTGGAGAGGTGCCAAACCTATCACAGGCTTTCTTGCCCTGTAACAACTGTTCAGGTGAGTAAAGAACATGGCAATCTTGAGTCATTTTTATAATATTTATTTTGAAAAAAGTAAATTTAAAGAAATCTGATCCACACCTAACTAATAAATCCTTAATGCTTCCATTATGTCTACTGAAAGTGTACTTTGAAGGATGGGAGACATACATCTATTTGCATCAACACTTTCCACAAACAGAGAGGTTGCTAATAGAGTGTCAAGGCTGTTAAAACCATCTTTGAAGTGGATAAGAACAGGAAGTACTGCTGGTCAAGTAACATAGATAGATAACAGGAAGCAGAGGAATATTATTTAACCAAGTTGTACCATTAAGCAGCCAAAGCATTGAGAAAAAAGTCTTGATTTTAAGTGTGCTATAATTTGTTCTCAGAAAATTTATTCTATAGATAATTATGGTTTGGGTCATTTGTGGGGGTAAAAATGAAGTTGATACCTTCTGAATTTGATTTAGATTCTTGCTTGCTAGCTATTTCTGCCTTCTGTTCCAGTTCAAAGATCCTTCCAAGCAATCCCCTGACATATGCTTCCCGTTGCTGGTCATACAGTAGCCACTGCTGATTTTTCTCAAGAGCCTTCATAAAAAGAAAGAGAACAACAAAAAAGTCTCTGGTAATTAATCAGCTTTTAAAAGTATTTGTCTTATGTCTTCAAAATATTAGAAGTTATGTATTAGACAGTATAAAGATAAGTAGTTAAATCTGCTGCAAATTGTAGTAGTCTGTACAATAAATAAATAAATCCATCTTCATTTGGAAAGTAAATTCAGAATGCTGAGCATAAGTTAAAAATGCAGCAATGGAAAAATTACTGAAAGAACAAAGGCTTTCATGAGTCATTATGAAGATTATGAAGAATTAACTTTTCAATCTCAAATATAAAATAAAATATAAAATAACAGACCTTGAAAATGGAATAACATGAAACTGTATCATTGCAACTTAATTTATAAGAACAAGGATATGGATTTTCTAGTTGCTTGGCTCATAGACTTATTCAGTTTGAAAGGGACTTCAGGAGGTTTCTAATCCAACCTCAAGCTATGCTGGGCAGTGTCAGGTTCCTAGAGGCTTCTGAGTTGTCAGCAACCATTTTGTTCTGATGTTCCAAGCAAAGTCTTTCAAAGATGATGAAAATCTTAATTTTTTTATTTTGCAAGTTTTTGGATTTTTAAATTTAAAATACTGCCTTGTTACAAAATCATTTTAGGGATTATATTTTAGAGAGAAACATACCCTCTGAGGTCCCATACTACCCCAAAATGTACATGATGATGATATACATTCTTCTGCATCTCAATACAGATGGTATGTGCTTGAATTTTACAGGAAACTTACATCTTTCAATTGTCTTTCAACTTCAGTGCTGTTGGTTGCCGCTTCCTGTGGACAAAGAACAACTTGCTAGTGTTGTTTGAAACAGCAAAGCTACTCCTGTACAGCTATTAATCTTACATGAAGAGCATAAGAATATTTTAAAAATTAAATCAGATGCATTTAAAAATTAAAACAGGTATGCCTTTTGTGTTTAAAGATCTTTATATTTGGTTGCTGCGGTTTTTTTTTAAAGACCCAAGTTATGTAGAAAGACATTTCATATATTTAAAATAGTCTTTTCTGCAAAATATGAGACAAAGATTTACATAGAATTTATTCTGCAACTCATAGTTACATTAATATATTTCCTAAGAAAACCGTAATGTATTTTCTGATGAACTGCTGTCTTGGAAGTCCTGAAGGGTGTTCTGCAAAGAGATTTTGAAAAATGAAGATATTTAAGGGTATTATTTAAGTACACAAGGAAAGGTAAATGTTTTTTTCTATTTTTGTATCCTCATACATTTGACAATGACCCAGAGAAGCTGGGGAGAAGCCAGAGACCTCGATGCTTCCCTGGGATAACAGGAAGACTGTAAACATCTGGGAAATCATGCAGGCCTGTCTGCAAGCACAAGGACAAACTGCCTGATTTTCTGAGCCTGATCCCCAGTACAGTGAGTATGACTTATGAGTAGGAGACTTCTTGAGACCCATCTAAAACTGGAGAGCAGTCACGCAGTCATGTTTCTCCCACTCTGACATGGATCTTCTCTGCAGGATACAAATTGGTTATGAAATTGTGTAGATATAAGTCAGAGGGAACTTCAATGAGAAAAAAAAAAAAAAAAAAAAAAAAAAAAAAAAAAAAAAAAAAAAAAAAAAAAAAAAAAAAAAAAAGTAGATTACTACCCAAATCCAAACTACATTTTTTCCAACATTTTTCTATGGATCTTGGAACATGATTTACAACAGAATTTATAGCTAAAAAATACAGAACTTTGAATACAATTATTAAACTTAAACACTTCCTAATAAAAATAGGATTTAGAGACACTGAACTTATTTCTATGAACATCAGAGTCCTGCCTCAGTAAAAACTTTCTCAAAATTGTGTCATAAAACTGTTGTTTCCATTTCAGAGCTAGCATGCCACCTAGCAGTTTCAAGCAGCATTGCTAGACTTGTTTTCAAGTTCTCCAAGACATCCAGTAATACATCATTGTCCTCTGTTGATAAATCAGTTAAAATTTTAAAAGAAAACTATGATTTTAAACTAATACATATTTTGGTGGCTTATTAACAAAAATATCATGAAAACCTGTTGACTTAATACACATTTTAACACCTCTAATAAAGTTCAAAGTATCTTAAAATTTAAAATAAATATGTTGCATTTCAAGTGGTATTTCTCAATAAACTGCATTATTAGAAGTACTATATATTATGACTCAAAAGTTATAGATTAAGATTTTCTGTTATGTATTTGGCTAAAGCAGGATTTCTAGAAATTGCTTAACTCCCGTGAAGAGTGTAGGCAACCAGCACCATCTGCAGGTCAAAAGCTGGAAAAGAAAGACTTAACAGCCACCTAATTTTAGGCACCTGTACCTAAACAACTCCCCTGTGCCACTCAGAGATACTACTGCATTTTCCAAAGAACATTAGAATGGGGCAGGGGTGGAAAAACAACTGTAAAATCCTGAATGGACTTGTAAACACTGCCAAGGATTGGCACCATACCTATTGACCACTTCACATGAGAGGAGAAACTCATCATTCCTGTCCTGTGCCACATTGAAGAACTTACCATGTGCGATGCCATAGAAAATAAAGAAAATTAGTTTTAACAACTGAGATGCAAATGAGCAGAGAGAAGAAAGATATTCTCGTGACTGAAGCTGAATTAGGTGAGGAGCTTAGTTTGTCTTTACTAGTGTCCCATACGTCTTATCACTGCTGCCTCTCACTGTCTGATCACTGAGCACAGAAATCTGAGAAGGGCACAGTGCTTGCCTGAGCACCAGTGGATCGTCCCAATAGTCACACACTACCTGTGTGTGACCTTGAACTAGGGACCTTGCAATACAGCAGGAGAGAATTCCCTCCCCAGCTATGCTGCCTGAAGTGTGCTCTCTGTTCTTCATTTTGAGTTCAGTCTGGATACCATCTCGCTTCATACAAGAATACTTCAGCATGCAACACAGCTTGTAAGAAAATTAAAAAACCATCCTATTTTATAACAGATATTGGTGCTTAGTGGGCACAAATTCCAATTTGCAATTGCAATATATCTTCAGTGCTTACCTGGGATGCCTGAGAAGTACTACTGGCTCCATTCTCAAGGTCAGAGCATTTTGCCATGACTGCAGATAAATTACATTTTAACCTGTTAATTTCTTCTGATAGAGAACAAAGTAACTGTTCTCTCCTTTCTGCTTCCTTTGTTTTTTCCTCTAGTTGATTTTGTAGTAAGGACACTTCACTATTCTTGGTTTTGGACCTAAGCTTGTCTTTCAGGTTTTGGATTTCTCTGTCCTTCTCTCCAAGAAGATGGCTGCATTTTTCTTTTTCTTTCTCAAGCGAAAGTATTTTCTAAATGAAACAGAATAAAGAGTAGGTGTTAGTCTATGCATCAATGCATTAGCAAGTTTACAGTACTTTGAGATGTTCTGAGCAGCAGGAACTAGTGGAAGGTGTCCTTGCCCATGGCAGGTGGGTTAGAACTAGGTGATCTTTAAGGTCTCTTTCTACCCAACCCATTATATGACCTTATGATTCTATGATGCTCGCTTTCAAAGTTCTCTCTTAGCCTTTAATTAGCTGAGAAAATTACTTTTCAGTCAAAAAAGACAATACTGGAGCAATCATCTGAAATATCAAGTGAGAGGAAAACTAGTCTGAAATAGGAGAGAATGCAAAGAACCACGTTTCACAGGCTGGGTAAGTACTCAGCTTTGCATATGAATAAAGATCACTACAGTATATGAGCCATAAAACAAAAGCAGTACAAGAATTCCAAAACACTTCCAGCAAAGAGGCTGGTGCTACATTTCTTAGTATATTTCTTAGCATATTTGGTAGCTTTTGGGAAGCACCAAAGCCTTCTTGCAAGCTACATGACAGTGAGTTACAGAAAAGTTATAATAAAGCATTCAGGAAAAGGATGCTATTTTTCCATGTTATCTGGCCCTGTAGTTTCAAAATGTGCATTAGTAGGTATTTTCAACATGCACTCTTTCCAGTAGGCCTCCAGGTCATCATTACACACAATTAGTACTGCATTTAAGATGCCACGGAGCTCTGCACAATGTGACAGCATTTAATTCTGCTGAGAAAGGCTGATGTTGAAATCCTGCATGTTGATATCAAGTCATTAGAAAGAGAAACTGAAAGAAAATGAATTTGGGAGAGCCTCAGTTAGGGAGTGGTTGAACACCACTGCTCACTAAAATTAAAATAGTGACACCAAAGAGTATCCGATGTATCAAACACGATGGTGATTTTGCACCTGTATTTTCTAGTTTATAGGAAACCAGTATTAAGTAACCAACACCATACAAACACCAACAGACTCAGCAAATACACTAAGGAATCTAGCCAAAACTGTGTATGAGCTGCCCAGCCATAGCTCATCCTTGGCTTAAGACTTCTCAACTTCCTTGTGGCACAGCCTTTTGTTAAAAAAAGTGGCTTAGAAATATTTATTACTTAGAAATATTAATTACTATGGCTAGTCCACATTAGTTGTATTCTTTTCTAGTGTCCATCTAAAGTTTCCCCATCCTTCTGGGAATCCTGACAAGCTGTGACTATGTCACCTATGTCTTGAACATCTCCCTCTGCAACCACAGGTTTACCTCGAGTGGAACAGAAAGAGACGTACGGATGCCTCAATACCTTGCAGGGTCTTACTTTCTGCTCTTATCTGTGATGGAACAGTTTCATTTACCTATAGCTGAGTGGGAACTTGACAATTCAAATCAAACAAACACTCTGCACTTTTTGGCATGTTCTTAATCAAATGTTTTCAGGAAGTGCTTAAAATACTTCTCTGAGACGTGTTCTGTTGGACACATGAGGACAGGTCTTAATGGACTAACTGGGACCTCTGACCTCAAGTCTTTGTATTTACCAGCCTTGTCAGATGAGTGTGATTTTATTCGCTCAGCTGTCATTGAAAAATACCTGAGAATGAAAATGTGAAAGGAAAAGTTTGTCTAACACTACGAAACCAGCTGTGACATCGAAAGGTTTGAGAGGAAAGGAGGAAAGGAGGGGCGGCCGCTCCCGAGGCCGAGCGCCGTACCCGCGGGCGCGGCCCGGCTGGCTCGGGCGAGCCCGGCTCACCTGCAGGAGCTCGCTCCTCTCCGGGTCCGTCACTTTGCCTTTGCCTGTGGCCACTTCCTCCATGGCTTTCCGCGGGGCAGCGCCCTCCCTCTTACCCTTCTCGAGCCCACTGTCAGCTCTGGAGCTGCCCGACTTCAGGCCCCCCTTGCCGATAATTCGATCGATGGCGTTCATCGTTAGGCGCCTGCCCAAACCGAGCGAGGCGCTACGGAACGGCGATCCCTTCTGGCGGGCGGGACGAGGCTCCCGACAGCCGGAGGCGAGCGCAGGCGGCGCGGGTCCTCCCGGGGCCCGCGGGGCTCAGGGGCCGGCGGGCCCGGGGCGGCGGGCCCGGTGCGGCTCCGTCCGGCCGCGGCCCGCGCCGCTTCCGGGAGTTTGAATCCCGCGGCCCCGGGCCGTCACTTCCGGGGTTGCGGGAGGGCCCCGCGGGGCGGCGGCGGCAGGGGCGGTGTCTCCCCGTGTCGCCGCCCCCGTGTCACCGCCCCCGTGTCCCCGCCCGGCCGCTGCCGGGCTCCCGGCCGCGTGTGGGCGGGGTGCTCGGCCAGCCGCGCGCTGCCGGGGCGGAGGGGCTCTGCAGGGTCTGCGGGGCCCGCTCAGTGCTGTTTCTCCCGTGGCTGTGTCCCCGTTCCTCCCTGAGCGCGTGGGGTTTTTCTCCAGAAATTCCCGCCATCTACCCCAAATCTAATAATTTTAATAATTACAAAGTAAGCTAGCGTAGGTCTCATGTGACCGTGTAAAAACTAGGCTGAACTTGTGGCTCCTTTTGCTCCCTCTTGCTGGCTTCCCGTCTCCTCTCTCCTTGGGGACACGCGTGGCAGTGGCAGCCCGAACCTCTCGGGTTTTTACTTCTGCTCACAGCTGAGAATAATTCTGAGCGCGGGGGAGCTCGGAGCTCTCGTGCTTCTCACGTAAGTGTTACCGGAATGACAAAACAGTCATAGGCCTCCAAACTAAAAAGAGAGTCTTGTCGCTTTTAATTTCTTTTTTTTGCACGCATTTCCATAATGCTTTTTAATTTTTAGTTGTGGATACACATTTCAATAATTCTACTATAAATCTACGGTATCGAGGATGTTCCAGGAGGAAGCTGCAGTGTCATTCCAGAATGCAACAGGAGGGGGAAGACTTACACTGTTTCTTGGGATCATCGCCAGTTTCTGACTAGGCTGCCACGGAGACAAACCAAAAGCATTTGCGGGCAACGAAGTTCTAAAAATTAGGGGGAAAAAATACAAGCCATCGTGAAATTTCATACCTTGGTATACCGAGAGGCAGATGTGGTTTAGGTCAAGTTCTCGAGTCGTGCTCAATGTTCATGTTGCTTAATGCTTATTCTTGCCTTGGTTTCTGACAAGAGATTTATCACGCAGTTTAAGAATAGAAGCAGCAGCAAGAAACCTGAATTTTTGCAGTGTGCCCTTTCTGTCGCAAGATTTCACTAGCGAGAGCTCCTTCTGTGCAGCGAGACAGAACCTGGTGTCAATTTACAGGACTGTTTTTTTCCAGAGCTTTGAGCAGCTAGTCCGTCATAGATCCACCCATAGACCTCCTTTGCTGTAAACCAGTAATTCCCTGCCTCCTCTTCCTGCTAGCAGTTCAGTCCAGAAGTTAAGGACTGTGGAACTGAACATTTCATTCCTTCGGTAGTAGTCAACATTTAGGCAAGAGGGAAACGATGCTTCGGGTGATTGTGGAATCTGCTACTAATATCCCTAAAACCAAGTTTGGGAAACCAGATCCTATCGTTTCTGTTATTTTTAAAGGTAAGCAAAACTGTCATAAATATAGCCAGGGAAGAAGTTTTGTAAAAGATAGTGCCCTTTGTAAGTATCTGAAAATCTGGGAAATCATGTTTTCCAGGAATTACATTTGATGTCATTTTGGGGGAGACTTTTTAATTAGAGACAGGAGTTACCTGAATGAAGTTTGAACTGGGTGGAGCACATTGGTCTGTTCTGAGCAGCTGTTCTTCTTCTGTTTCAGGATCCACATTTTGCAAGTTTTTCTAAAGGATTAACCTGTTGCTTTAAAAACAAATCTAATTCTGTAAATGAACCAACTTTTAATTCTAATATTGAAGATTACCTTGTTTTCCATCTGAAAAATCATTCCTGTCTTGCTTACTTTGAATAGGCACTGCTCACTGTCACACACATACAATAAAAAAGTGATTTATTGTTGTTACAAGTAGTATATTGAAAAACAGTAGTACTATTTCTGAAGGTGCTTGATTTTGTTTTAGTTTGGTTTGGAGGTTTTTATATTGCTTTTTTGTTTGGTCCCCCCCCCCTGCTCCCAATGGATTAGCACATCAAAATTTTGCCTGTTGAGATTATTTAATTTTGGACGGAAATGGTATTTTTCACTTTCATTGCTTATCGGTTATATATCGGAGAAGGAGAAGACGATGATAAAATTAGCATTTATATGTAAAGCTAAGTATGTTTTAGAGTATACTTTACCTGTTGCTAACATTACCTCACTTGGCTAGACTAGAGGAACTTGATTTCTAGTATTGATTTGTCTTTAAGGTGCCAAAACCTTTAAGCAATTTTGGATCGTGTAATACATCAAACAAAACTGTGACAAACAGGCGTCTTATCTCCTGGTGACCTGGTTTCCTAACTGTGCACTGAAATCCAAATGGTATTTTAAAGTGTGAAAAGTCCTTGCGGGAGTTTGTCACCTTTAGAAACCAAATCTGAAATCATTACAGCTGTAGGCTGAAAAAGGACAAGGCACTGCACATGCAGAATCTTAATTTCAAAGTAATAAGTTTTCAGATACATTTATTTCAGCATCAGAAAGATGTGAAATCATTCCATTTCCTTTAGTTTCCTCCTGGTTTTTTTTTTTGTTTGTTTGTTTGGTTTTTTTGTGTGGGTTTTTTTTTTTTTTAACCACTCTGTGTGTTAGAAGTGGCAGAGTCTGTCTCAGTAGCTTTTGGAACTTCCTAATTCTTAAAATATGATTTTACTTGCCCTGCAAAAAGTGAATAAACTGTCATTTTTCTGGTTTGTTTCACATTCTGCTAGTTCTTAGGTATCCATTTTCTCTTTCCATTTCCTTGTCTCCCTTTGCTTTCCTGCCAGGTTTGCCTTTCTGTGTGGCCTCTGTTCCTGCAGTTTCAGACTCCAGAGCTGGTTTATGCCTTCCCTTCTTTATGCTTTAGTGTCTGTTTAATCCCTTCTTGTAACCTTTTCTTCCTTCTATGTGCTCTAATGTAGTTCACTTTTACCTAGTAAATAGAAGTTACAGGGGTTTTTTTCTTCATTGCTTGATTTGTTTTCAGTCCTTCAGTTATCCAAACACAGGAATTGGACAACAGACATTAAAATAATGAATTTATATTTATCCTTTATGTACTAGAATTGGGATTTTTAAATGTTCCCAAACATGCTTAACCAGTGTCAGCTTCATAATTGTGACAGGTTTTTAGTGGTATATTTAATTTCTCATTATCCTGCCACTTCTATTTATGTGATTTTACTACATACCAACAGTCTGATTTTGTGCTTCCTGTCCAGAGTGATTCAAGTGGGACAGAAAATACCAGGCTTTTACCAGCTATTAAGCAACTCTGATCTAATTTGTAAGTGAGTGCCTGGTTACCAAGCACAAGGACAGAGTCATATCTGAAATATGTTTGACTTCTAGCTGTTTATGTTTATAGATTTTTTTTATATACACTTCTTGTTCCCCCCTCTCCCTGTTAATGTGTAGAGATAGGAAACCAGTCTTATTTTGGGAAGAATATGTCAAAGGGCATTAATCTTAAGCTTTAGTCCCTACCCAGTGTAAATCTTGGGGGACATAAAAAACACATTTGGGACTGCATGTTCTAGACTGGGAAAAACTTAAGCATTTTGCAGGACTATGGCCATGGCCAATGCATGTTCTTGTTTGACTCTGGAGTATTCTTGGTGAAGTCTTAGTGAACTGCACTCACTTAACAGAAAATTGCTGTGGAAGTTGGCATTTCATTAGAACAGTATTTGGTCAAATTTTAATTTAAAGGGCCTTTGCTGATGTCAGGTTCAGCAAATTTAAGCCTCCCATGAAAATTGTCTTTCAGTCTCACACCTTTACAGCCATGCTGGGAAGAAAGAACTCATGATTCTGCAACTGTTAGTATAAAAGGACTGCAGATGTTTTATAGGCTAAAACATGTAAGTTAATATGGTTTAATCTATGAATAGAATACATTTTAAAAATTTTTAAACTAAGCTGGTTGCAGACTAGGCAGTTAATGTAATTGTGACAGGGATATATATTAGCTGTGTATTAGGAGGAAATAAGCAGCTGTTTCTGTTCTGATATAGCAGAGCGGTTTTGTGCAAGCATTTCCCTTTTTTTTTTTTAAACCCATTTATGTCCAGCCCAATGGGATGGAACTTTTATTTACTTTAAGAAAAGCTCACAGTTCAAAGAGAACTACGCCCTGAGAGTAAATTAATATCACTATCTGGAAGTGGGTGCTGTTCTTGCAGAATTCTGTTTGTCACTCAACATGAGACAATTCATTGGTCAAATTAATATAAAAAAAACTGTTGCCATTTGCTAAACTGGCATTAGGTGATGATGATGAAATCAGTATAATTATTATGGTTTGTTAAATTCTCGTCTCAGTGTGTAAAAATTGATTCAATTGCTTGTATGTGCAGTCAATGCTAGGATATTTAGTGGTTTGACCATTTGTTTTGGCTGCCTCATTCCACTTTATGTAGTAAAAACTGAGGTGAAATGGCATTTAATTTGATTAATCCAACTTGATTCCATTTGTGCTTAATCTAAGAGCTTTCCAGCAGGCCTACAGGCAGCTATTTTAGTTTATATTTCAGTGTGTGAAAGGAAATAGTTTTAGAGTGTAATTATTCACTGGATTTAAATTTTCTGTTTTGCAGAGAGTTGAATTATCTAAATTTAATTTCCAGGGTTTTGGAGCTCTGCCTATTTGATCCAGCAGTTGCTGCCATCCTGCAATCTTATTTCTTCTTTGACAAAAGTTCTATGGAATACTAAGTTAACTGAAATGTGATACTGCCTTAAATCTTAGATTTAGGACTGTTGTAAAAGATAATGTTTGCTTCTGCTATTCCCCACATGCTCATGTTGATGCTAGTTATAATAGAAAAAATGCTAGTTATAATAGAAAAAAATTAAGATGGAAATATTAAGTGTTTTGCTATACTGTGATATTTTAAATGTTCAACAGTTATTGTTTAAACAGCTCATCTTAATTTTTTTGGACACTGAGGAATTCTTATTACAGTCATTTTCACCTGACAATATTAGCTAGCATGTTATAATATAAGGTAGTGTGGT